GGGGGGGATTGGGTAAGGCTCGAGGAGAATGAAAACGGCCCATCTCTAGGACCCTCCACAGGCAAACCAGCTGGGGCGAGGCCGGAGGGGCTCTCAAAAGTCATCTCACCTTGAAGATACATTTCCTCGCCTTCTGTGAACATCTGGTTGCATCTGCTGCATCGGGCACAGCTGGGGTGGTAATGCTTGTCACCCGCCTGCAAGAGAAAAGGTGGCCGATGGTCATTCAGTTCCTCTGTCACTGTCCCAAGCCTTTTTTCCAGAGCTTGGATATTTAGGATGGGAGGAGAAGGCACTGGGGGCAGGGTGGGGAGCGGGGAGAGATTGTCTAATGGATCCAACGTCCTAGAGCCACAGCTCTAAAAGCACTGATGGCCGCCATGAGGGGGTGCTCTGCCCCTCGGAGTCCACAGCTCCCTGGGACCTTGATTTCCTGGGGACTGTTACACCATGCGCCTGTGATAGAGCCCCTCCATCAGCAGGAGACTTAGGATCAGAGCTTACGCCCATGCCCACCTTCACCAGCGCTAACCCAATCAAAAGAAATGTTTGCCGCCGAGAGAATGGCAATCTGCCTCCTTCCAATACCCTGGGAATAGTCAACTCCCTCTGGCTTGGCAGTCAGAGGTGGCACACGTTGCTTTCTGCTCAGAGCGCGCCCCAGCCCTTTGCTATGCTGGGGACGGCAGCCTTGGCCTGGCACGGAGTTTTCTGAAGAGAGCTGTCTCTTGGGCTCCTCACACTCAGAAACCTGGCAGATGCCAGTGCAGCAGGCACTGACTTCCCTGAAGCAGAGTGACCCTGGACTCGGGGGCAATTTTCTAGACAGGTGACAGGTCACATCAGAGTCATGCTCCGGGTCCACGTCTGACCAGAGGAAATGTTCTCACGTGCAGCTTAGCCAACACTGCCCACCATGCAGGTACCAGCCAATGGAGCGTGGGGTGGTTTTGTCAGCCAACCACGGAAACACTTCCTTTCACTGGGTGTGAGGCGGTGCGGAGAGGCCAGAGGCAGCAGCAGCCTGCACAGCACCGCAGCAGGAAGTGGGGGGCAGACAGCCTGTCCTTTCTCGCCTCTCCTGGGGGAAACTACAAAAGCCCCTTAGCCATCAGAGCGTGAGAGGGTGCTCAGCTCAAGAGAACCCTGTGTTGGGGGAGGGAGATAGGAACCACCCAACCAATGCATCAAATACTGAAGTGATTTAAAATTGGGAGCCAAGCATGGAATCTTTGCAGGGTTACCTGCCAGGCAATTCCCCAAGAGCCTGCTATGGTGCTTACCCCCACACTATTTTAATTTTTATTAAAAGACTATTTTATTGGGGGCTCTTACAAGTCTTATAACAATCCATACATCAATTGTATCAAGCATATTTGTACATAGGTTGCCATTATTCTTTTCTAGACATTTACTTTCTATTTGAACCCTTGGTATTTGCTTCCCCCCCCCCCC